GAGAGAGAGAGAGAGAGAGAGAGAGAGAGAGAGAGAGAGAGAGAGAGGAAGAAGGAGGGGGAGGAGGAGGAGGAAGAGGAGGAGGAAGAGGAGGAGGAGGAGGGAGAGGAAGGGAGAAGGAGAGAGGAAGAGAGGGTGAGAAAGAGAAGAAAAAGGAGGAGGAGGAGGGATGGAGGGGAAGGGAGAAGGAGAGAGGAAGAGAGGGGGAGAAAGAGAGAAGAAAAAGGAGGAAAAGGAAGAGAAGGTTGTGGAGGAGGAGGGAGAGGAGGAAGAGGGAGAGAGGGAGGGAGGGAAGGAGGGAGGGAGGGAGGGAGGGAGGGGAAGGGAGAAGGAGAGAGGAAGAGAGGGAGAGGGAGAGAGAGAGAATGGGCAAAACACATGAAATAATGTCTCACCGAGAATGATATACAGATGCCAAGTAAGTACATAACAAGATGTTCAATATTATTAGCCAACAGGGACATGCTAATTAAAACCATACTGAAATAATAAAATAGCCAAAATAAGAAATACTGGAACTCATAAATTGCTAAGTAGGAATGTAGAACTGTGTGGCCACTGGACAGTAGTCAAGAAGCACCATATGAAACTGAGCAGAAACTTGCCAAATGGCCAGTAATTGCACTGGGGAGCCTTCGTCCCCTACAAATGGAAACTTACTGTCATGCCAAACTTTGTTCATGAATGTTTATTGCAGTGGGCCAAGTTAGAGACAACTAAAAGGTTCTACATTAAATGAAGATAGTTCTAAGACCGGGGCTATAGCTAAGTGGTATATTATATGCTTGGCATGTGCAAGCTTTGGATTTGGTCTCCAGAAACATTTTTTTTAAGTGAAACTGTAATACATCTCTTCTGTGGAATACTACTCAGAAATAATGTGGGAATACTGATAAACAAAACAACTTGGATGAACCTCAGGGGCACTGCGCTGAGTGAAAAACAAACAAGGGGAGAAACAGAGCGCTATCAGCTTGTTTATATAGCGTGTGATGTCATTTCCGTTCCATTCTCAGAAAGACAAAGCTATAGAGAGCCGGCTAATAGACTCTAAATCAGAACCCGTTCTGGAGAGAGATGGGTGTGGCTAATAGAAGCGGCAGATGCTCAAGTAATGTCTCATCTCCTGGGAGGCGTCAGTGGGAGCGTTTCTAAAGACTGCTGCCTCTGTTCCCGATATATGGGGTGGAATGTGCAGACAGAAGAGCGTGATAGACAAGATTCTTCTTCACCTCAATGACAGCTACCTCTGTGACCATCAAAGTGACCTTTGTCATTTTGCAGCCTATGTAAACATTCCTGTGGGATCGCTTCATCTTCTGCTCTATGGACGGTGTTTCCATGGGAGGCAAACCATTCCTGGGAAGGTTCTCCAAGCTAGAAAATCCCTGCTCTTTCTAGTCAGCAGGCTGATGGTATTATAGTGCCGACAAGACGGAGAGAAAGGGGACACAGTTGTAACTCTTTAACCTGTTTTACCTTCGGTAAATACTCCTCCTGCTTGCTGCCTTTCTTACGATTTCCTGTTCTCCTGTATTTTATATCTAAGAGTAAGCTAGGAAAAATTTAAAAGTCTGAGCGAGACACCTTACCACCTTCGTGAGCCCATGTTTCCATGTAGCTACTGTGAAGTACAAATATGTCTGACATGGTGTGTGACCCACTTGATCTAGCACCTATCATAAAACACGTCCTATGCATACATCCTATTTCTGTGAACATCTAAAATTATAATATTTTTTTCCAAGAGCTCAGAATCAAATCTCCAAAGAATTGCTAAATTTTTTCCACTTTATTTGTTTTTATCATTATCCTGAGGAATCTTGCAAGCAGAGGCATAACAAAGGATTGTGTGCCAATGACTTGTTAGAGACCTGATTCTGGGGAGGGAGAGAAGGTCAGAGGGCATGGCCAGGGAACATGGGAAAGACGGTGCAAGAGAGGGGGGTTAACCATGGTTACAGTGTTCTGGTCCGCTGGGGCCGTGTGAGGAGCCTTAAGAAATGTGTCAGATTGAGTGCCAGAAGACAAAGGGGCCACAAAAGAAAGACAGAGTTCACAGAGGCCTGCCTCCTGTTGGTTTGTGGAACCCCCATGGACCCTGTGTGTCTGAATGCTAAGCAGACATGGGTCTTAGAGAAGCCCCACCACAAGAAGCAAGAGGTACAAATGAAAGACCCAAAACTAAGTTTCTATTGGGCAGTGTTTGCTGAGTAGAGCTAAGTTTCTGCTTGGAGACTAAAAATAGCACCGGGAACATTTAAAGTGAGTCTCAAGCTGTGGCCATAAAGTATAACCTTTGAGTGACTGACACGGCCATCAGGACGTGCTTGGGAATAAGTAAGCTGCATTTCCTTTTATTGGGTCAGTCAGTAATATTTTAATATCCCCTTACCAGTTTTTACATGTTCAATTTACCCAGTGACATCTCTGAAGTTCGGAAAGTGAGAACAAATTTTAATGGTTGGAGGAAGCAACATCTCAGAGATGTTACCTTAAACTGCCAAGGTATATCTTAAGAGAATAATAAATTAAAATATGAAACAATACAAATAAACGAAACTCACACTTCATCCATGTCTACATTTGTTTTGATATGTTCATATGGTCTATAGCCATTTTATAAAGGAAATTATTTATTAAAATAAGTGGGGAAAGTAGGCACATCCTAATCTCTGTCTCAGATTATTTTTATGTATTTAAGACAATCACAGTTATGTAGGCATAATTACTGCTCAAGTTACATGCTTTATATAGATACTAAGTAATTAGTAGGTTAAATTCCTTAGCTAATAAATAGATTAAATAACTAATTAATGAAAAACTAACATTCATACCTCAATAACTATTTCAAGATATATAAATTAATCTAAGACTCAATATCTAGTAAGCAGATACTATCTCTCATCTTAAAAGTGACAAGTCTGAGTCTGAATAACCTGCAAAAGGCCACGTTGCTAGTAATTCAGTGCAAAAGTGGTCTGAGGAGACGACTCAGTCAGCAATGTGCTTGTCTTACAAGCACAAGGACCTGAATAGGATTCTCAGACCCATGTACAAGTTCTAAGCATGGACGGTTTTTATAATCTCAGAGCTTGAGAACTGGATATAAATGGGTCCCTGGATTCACTGGCCGGCTAACCTAGCCTTGCTTCAGGCCCATAGAAGACCCTGCCTCGAAGGAAGCAAGAGCACCTGCGCACACACACACACACACACACATACACACAAACACACACACACACATACACACACACACACATGTTGCAGTAATTTCCAACTTCAATAAGTCCATATAAAAAGCACACAATCCAGCTTTTATATTTGTAAGCTTAATTTTTAAAAACTTTAGAGAAAGTTAGAATGCACCAATTCAATGATCAAATGGCCCAAGTCACCTACAATTGCTGCGTTTGTAACAATCAGTGAGAATATAGCTACTAAGAAGTTAGTCTCTTGTTGTTGGTGAATCCACCAGTTCTATAATTTCTGTACATAGTACTCTAGTGTGAGGGGGAAAGCATTAGAGTAAAGTAGTGCGGGTCAATTGAGGAGATGGGTAATCAGTCCTTTACACACAACGCAGGTGTACAGAACAGAATGGTGAGCGTATCAGGTGGCAACCTGAAGATTAGCACTACAGAAATAGTTGTTAATTGGCAGGCAGTGGAAGTGCACATCTTTAATCTCAGCACTCAAGAGGCAGAGGCAAGTAGATCTCTGAGAGTTTGAGACCAGTCTGGTCTACAGAGTGAGTTCTAGCACAGCCTGGGCTACACGGAGAAACCCTGTCTTGAACACATCAGCATATACAGATATACATATATGTGTTGTATATAGTATTTTGAATATATATGTTAACTGATTAGTAGCTAGTCAAATTTACTAAATTTTAATTTGCACTCATAGATGCTAAGAACTTTTGAAAGGATAGCCATGCTTACATGTGATGAACCATCTTCAACCCCAGATAGTTTCCCACATGTGCTGATGCCCTTCCTGGTACCTGCTGAGGGCATCTCCAGGTAGTTTGTAAGATGACTCGGTTGTGTTGGTGAGTCACAGTTTCTGCACTGGTACAGGAAATTCCTCTGTTTCCTGTCTCTCTCATGACTCCTGCCTGAGTGCAGAGACCTGCACAGTCTGTGCGTGTTGCAATTGTACAGCCTCACTCAGGTGCAGCTAAGATGGCAGGGCTTTGTCGTGAGCTAATGAAAAGGGAAAATGTCCGAAGCTCCCTTTTTGAAAAGGTGCAGTTACCTGTGTACGTATATATGTTTCATGGTTGATAGGAAAGCTACTGTGTGGAAAAGACCAACACCATTAGAATTGGTGTGGGAACTGCACATCTGACTCACTGATTTTACTGTCAATCCACGTGAATGAGAGAAGTCATGTCTGTGGCAAAATCCTCTCCAGCAGCTTCTCTCCCGCCTGCATGTTGGTTGTCTTTAATTATTCAGCCTCCTCCTCTTAACCGCACCCCGTGTCTGAAACACAGGGAGGACCCTGCTCCCTCTGCCTCTCCCGTTCTATCCTGCACGTGCTTAACAAATATTTGCCAACTGTCTAGCCCTTGGCAGACAGTGAAAAAAAAAATAAATCATTGAAAATCCCTTCCCCACCCAAAAAAAAAAAAAAAGCCACTACATTAGTTGACAGTTTCAAGTAGAACTTGAGAAAATTTTTAAGAAAATTTATCCTGAAGGAAGACATACTGTTCCCCCAAAGAAAAGAGAATGAGATAGATTTCTGTGTGAAGATGTAGAAAATACCAGTTTCCAAACACCAATTGTGGCTGGATTCCCAGGCAAGATGTTCAATTGTTTTTGTCAACATGGCACTTTTTTCTTTTAACGTCTAGGGTGTCTCAGTGACAAGCTGATGATCTGTACGTCCTTTTGAATTTCTACACCTCTAATTTCTTTTGTTTACTTTTCAGTAATGGAGAAAACATGTGCAGATGAGTTTCCTCTGACTACCAACTCCTCAGAAAAGCAAGGGATTGTCTGCATTTTCGGAACAGGGGATTTTGGGAAATCACTGGGACTGAAAATGCTTCAGTGTGGCTATTCTGTTGTTTTTGGGAGTCGAAACCCCCAGGTGTCCAGCCTCCTGCCCAGGGGGGCAGAGGTCCTGTGCTATTCGGAAGCAGCATCAAAGTCTGACATCATAATCCTGGCCATACACAGAGAGCACTACGATTTCCTCACAGAACTGGCTGATTCTCTCAAAGGAAAAGTATTGGTAGATGTCAGTAACAACCTCAAAATCAATCAGTATCCAGAATCAAATGCTGAGTACCTTGCTCAACTGGTGCCAGGAGCCCACGTGGTCAAAGCATTTAACACCATCTCAGCCTGGGCTCTCCAGTCAGGAACACTAGATGCAAGTCGACAGGTAAGATTAAACGAACTTGGATTCAGCCATTTAAAGGTGAATGTTTTCATATGTCCTTACCTGAATATAACTCTTTAAAAAAAATCCCTATTAAATATTTCATTTTTCTAATTGTGCTAAGGACAACATTCTTGGGTTTCATTGAGAAGTGTAGTCTATGATGGTTCATGGTTTTTCATTGAGAACTGTAGTCTATGGTGATTCATGGAATTTTTAGTAGTTTGATGGAACCAAATGATGTCTGAATCTGGAGTTCTCTTGCCAGATTGGAAACTAACCATTTGTTGATTCTGTTTCCATTTGTGTGAATGTCCACTGATGCCCTGAGAGTATCCACAGTCATAAATGATGTGGTACCCACATTCAAGAGCAAGATGAGAGTACTGATGCTGCAGAGAACCTTATCTTATAGCAACATTATGTGCTAAACACCACCCTCAACCAAAAAGCTTTGTCCAGCACACGCATGCCAGTTCAAAGCATCATCTTGCTAGATAAAATTCTGTATCTCTGTTTGGAAAATAGTTTATTATTGTATCTTTTATGTGATGCTTATATAAAGCTTAGTGGTGACAATTAAATAAAGGAAATAATAAATATGGAATTAATTATTTTAACTCAGGTGTTTGTCTGTGGAAATGACAGCAAAGCCAAGCACAGAGTGATGGATATTGCCCGTACTCTTGGACTCACCCCACTGGATCAAGGATCTCTCATGGCAGCCAGCGAAATTGAAAACTACCCTCTGCAACTATTTCCAATGTGGAGGTTCCCTTTCTACTTGTCCTCTGCGCTGTGCGTCTTCTTCTTTGTGTACTGTGCTATACGAGAAGTGATATACCCCTACGTGAATGAGAAGACGGATGCTTCGTTCCGCCTGGCTGTTTCCATCCCGAATCGCGTCTTTCCTATAACAGCACTTACACTGCTTGCCTTAGTGTACCTCCCTGGTATTCTGGCCGCCATTCTGCAGCTCTACCGAGGCACAAAGTACCGCCGATTCCCAAACTGGCTTGACCATTGGATGCTTTGCAGAAAGCAGCTGGGCTTGGTAGCTCTGGGGTTTGCCTTCCTTCATGTCGTCTACACACTCGTGATTCCTATCCGTTACTACGTACGATGGAGGCTGAGAAACGTAACCGTTACTCAGGTAAATTTCTTCTCCTCTGTATTTCTCGGCTCCATAAATCAGAGGACAGTCATGCTCTGCGACAGTCCATTTCACAGCTGCAGAGCATTGCTCCCCAAAGTTTGTCCTCTGCTCTGTTTGTGTTTTAAATACTTTATGATTTAGAGCTGGCTGACCTCAAACTCATGACTTTCCTGCCTTGATCTTCCAAATTCTAGGATTAGAAGCATGAACTCTCCCACCCACCAAGCATCTGCATTTTTTTTTTAAGTATCAATAATTAGAAACCTTCTCCTAGGGTTTGCAAATGAATCCAATTGTGATCACATAGAACTAGGGGAATAAAAATCAGAGTCCAGACTCTAGATTTATAATCCTGGGCTCACAGAGATACTAACCAACTGACAGGTTTACGTAAGAGTCACTAAACACAGACTCTTATGTTTCAAGCTTCTGTTTTTGAAGTCTAAACTACTGTCCATGAAGTACGGAGTCTGACCAAACATGTGCCACAACACTACACGCAAACTCACAAAAGGGTGCTTATAAATCCATTAACATTGCACTTGTGAAAAGTCATCCTCAATAGATAGAAATCCAAATGATTCTGAACATCAGAATACCATCAAGTACTACCTAATGAATACTCAACGATGAAGTCACCTCAACGAGTCTCCCAGCATTTACAGCAGAGATGCTACAAGTCTAGTCTGGTTTAGAAATTAATGCTCTTGATATATTTTTGCAACATTCTCAAAGGCTGTTAGTCAATAACTCCAAGAACTCACCAGCACTGTGTCCACAAGTAACTTCACACACTACCCTAACAAAATGTCTTGAGTAAGGCTCACCCTACATTTGGAATTAATGTAGGAGTCACCTGACTCCTCCCAAACTGTGATAGGAAAGATTTTATGTTGTATTATATAACATAATTAGAATGAAAGACTGAAACCTGTGCGGGGTGTGTGTGTGTGTGTGTGTGTGTGTGTGTGTGTGTAAGAGAAGAAGAGAGACAGAGGAAGAGAATAAAAATAACATAAAAAACAAATTTTGATGTGACTGTTCAATAACACTGTGTTTTTGTTTGAGAAACACAAAGCCATATACTAAAAAAAGATTAGCACAAATACTGACTTTGTTTTAAGATCTATAGGGTGAATTAAAACTCCCTATGTGACTCTAGGAATTATAACAAATCACAGGCGAATCAATTACCTTTTCTGCTCAGAAAATTCAAAAGTATTTTTCCAAAGCTGTTCCTACGTGATCAATAAGAAATGATACAAAATTTGCTTTGTGCAAGTAACACAAAGAGAGAGGTGTGTTCCAGTCCTCCTTGAAAGAGTTTAGTATAAGGAACATCTATTTTAATTGTTTCTAATTTTTCATAGGCCCTAGCTAATAAAGACAGCCCATTTGTTACCACTGTTGCCTGGCTTAATGATTCCTACTTGGCGCTGGGAATCCTGGGATTTTTTCTGTTTCTCCTCTTGGGAATCACTTCCCTGCCATCAGTAAGCAACATGGTCAACTGGAGAGAGTTCCGGTTTGTCCAGGTAAGTGCTTCAAATTTAAATGTCTTGGTATTTCAAAGAGAATATAGCTTTTTGCAATTGTTCCAGTTTTACTGTCATATCGTGCCTAGAATTTTCCATTTGGTTCCCTTACTTCCCAAGTCATATCATTAGCAGTTCACTCAAAAAACTGAACTCAGATGCTGACAGGCAGACTCGATAAGGGTGTGATTTCCTGCTTGGGACAGCTTGCCAAGACTCTTGAGTATCCCAGAGCTACCACTGAGACTACAGAGTGAAAAGTACCAAGAAGCTATTAACTATGTGTGGAGGCATCAAGTAGAAAGGTGGAAAAGGACCCAAAGACAAAACTCTGTCTTACAATCTGGACAGATTGATAAGAAAAGGGAGATTTACCATAAAGCTTAAAACTTCAATGAAAATTTGATAAGTATCTTCACCCTAGTCTTATTCCTGGCCTGTATGAGAGAAATTCAATTTTTCCACGTCTCAACCACCAGACACCTCATTAAATGTAGTACCTATTCCCGGAGACCAGTGGTCTTCACAGTATCTATCACATCCAGAGGAGCAGCAAAAGCACCACCCAGGGAACTCGTTAAGCCACAAAGCCCCAGGCCCCACCCAGTTGGAGCAATGAGAGGCTCTGAAGATCGAGCCTAGCAATTTGTTTTAACAAACCCTCCAGATAATTCCCATGCATGTTCCCTCCACACCAGTATAATAAAACAGACCATTAGTAATTGAAATTAGATTTGGTTATCAAACCCAGCAATTTCTCTGAGGGGCTAAATGTAGACAAACACTAGGAATTAAGACAGGAAAACTGAGCTTCAGAATTCAGGGCCTCCACAAGCACAATTTAGCAACTGTGTTTTACTGTAATGGAAATGGGCTAGCCTCTGGCTTTGACCAGTACCAGAAAAGAGTGCAGAGCTTGTAGAAGCCATTCGGTTCTGAACTCTTCATAAGATGACCTATAAAAGGAGCTCCCTCTGTGGACAGAAATGGTGCATTCAATTCATGTCTCCTAACTTAAAAGTATTTACTCCTAAGAATGTTTTTCTTTATCAAGCCAGTGTGGAGCGCTGCTGCCACGCCTTAAAGATGGTGCCTGCTTGCCCTTGCAGACTTGGAGTAAACAAGCCTTGTTTGGTCTTGGGGCGGTACTTCCTGGTGGCCTGATCTTGTGTCATGGGTCCTTGACCAATCACAGTGCGAGACGTGGTATGGGCTCATGGGCAGTCCTACACAGGGTATAAAGCTTCGCTCCTGGGCTGGCTCGGGGGCACACCTTCAAGCTTCATGTAACTAGCAACTCCTGAGTAAACTGCTGCTGGAAGGAACTGGTGTGCGAGTCTTTCTTCCCTGCTGGTCGGGGTGGTAGGCGCCGCACAAGCCAGGTTAATATAAAACTAGTATGTCATCAATAAACAAATCTTTTTATATTTTAATTAAATATTTCTCATCCTGAAGAAAGATTATAGTTTTTTTTCTAAACCTAGCATTGTTCTAAATAACAGTATCATGAATTTGTGGTTGTGGACAAGTAAACTTCGTTGGCATGCAGTATTTCACTGTAAGTTGTAAATGATGTTGACTTCTATGTTTTTTTCTGTTTGTTTGTTTGTTTGTTTATAGTCCAAACTGGGTTATCTGACCCTGGTCTTGTGCACAGCTCACACTTTGGTATACGGTGGAAAGAAATTCCTCAGCCCTTCGATTCTAAGGTGGAGCCTTCCGTCAGCCTACATTTTGGCACTCATCATCCCCTGTACAGTGTTGGTGATGAAGTTCATCCTCATCTTGCCATGCATAGACAAGACCCTCACGCGCATCCGTCAGGGCTGGGAAAGGAACTCAAAACACTCACAATCAGCACTGAATGGAAAATCGGATATTTAAACAGTTGAATTTGCCGGGATATGTGTATTATTGTAGTAAATGTTTAGCGCATAATGTGTCCAGTTACAAGAAAGCGTTTTCTCTCGTCATGGTCAGGGTCCTAACTTTATCATCACAGTAGAAAATGTTGCCTGACTTTGAAAGACCAGAATAGCAAGGGAGCCCCCCCCTCGGTCACGTGATGACTCACTGCAGGCCTCCCTCACTTCCTTTCCCAGAAACCACGGGGATGCCACTGTGATTAGATTTACAGGTCTGTACTCCGAAACTTCTTGACTGTGGGCAACATGCATGATGAAATGTTTTGCAGAGTTCTGGAAGAGTGTGTGCAACTTCCTTCTCTAATTCAAAAAGAAAGCAACACTGTGAGAAAGCAACACTGTGGTCATACTAAAGGTTTTGCTCGGCATACCTAAAGAAAAAACCCAAGGGAAGTAGACAGAGAGAGGATTTGTTTGTTTCCTGGATGGAGTGGTGATCATAAGTATTGTCCTACCGATCTGGGGGTGTTTGGGGTTTGGCTATAGTGTTAAATGCTGTCTTACTGAGCTACACACACCCCAGCCTGCCATAGTGAGTGTGTATTCATGTGTACACACGCCCTAGCCTGCCATAGTGAGTGTGTATTCATGTGTACCTCTTGATTTTTTTTGCTTTTACCAATATGGATACTTACTATGGGGAAATATTTTATACTGCAACAAAAATTTAACAGTTGGTTTGAAGTAACTGTTCCTTGGATATATGGAAAGCTATGTGATTGTCACAAGATTCTTCCTCTGCAACGGATGGCTAGAGGGAGATAGGGTAAGAGTTGAGTGACCCTAAGTTGAGAGAAGATGGAGAAAGAGTGGAAGATCCATTGGGTTTTTCAGGTGCAACAAGCAGAGACGGGTTGATAACAGCCATGTACAAAAATGTCAAGCCAGAATTTTAGCTAGTAAGCTAAGCAAATACTATATAATTTCACTATGCTGTTTGGTATCACTTAGGGATTGTGGAGTGCTTTCTGCATTATACATTTCAAATACTGTCCAGTATTAAGCATCTGTGAAATTAACTTGAAGTATAAACATGTAGCTTCCATAATCTGTCTTTGTTATCATTGTAAGTGGTGCAGTTAAAAGGAATCATCTGAACACGTCGGTGGGAGGAAAGGAAAGCTGAGAGGATTGTGGAACAGTAGGAAGACGAGCAGCCGTGGGTCGGATGCAGCCGGCTCTGGCGAGCAGCCGTGGGTCAGATGCAGCCGGCTCTGGCGAGCAGCCGTGGGTCAGATGCAGCCGGCTCTGGCGAGCAGCCATGGGTCGGATGCAGCCGGCTCTGGCTTGCTGTGTGGACTGTGCCTTTCCCAAGGTGACTCTAAGCAGGCTGAGTCTCCCTAGCTCTAGCCTGGTGCTAAAAGGAGATTTTTGCACAATCTTCCCATGTGTCACTGAAATAAGTGAAAGGCATTGGGTTTAACATTTTTCTGCCTAATCCACAAAGGCTGTTTATTTTTCATTTTGTTAGCTTTTATTTCACATATCATACATAATATCATACATTGCTCACAATTCAGGATTTTTTTTTATATAAAGCTCTTATATAATACAGAAATTTCTTTTACTATTGCCCTAATAGAACACATAGACCATATTCAGTTCTTACTAAGAGGACAATTGAGTTAATGTCTTTATACTAACAAAATATTTCTGTATTTTCAATTATTTCCTTGGAATATTTTCTGAGTTAATAATATAAAATTAAAGAATATTTGACAACATTTGCAATGGTGACATTTTTTAATACGACTTTCTCAATTCTCTTGATACACCATTTCAGATTTGGGATTTTACTTTAATTGTGATTTCTTACAAATAGCTATAAAATTCTGAGGAATATGCATCTGTACATTACATTTGATGAAGCCATGAAAAGATTCCAAGAACAGAAGAACTCTGGGAAGAGCAAGGGTATTGGGGTGGGTGGGGCAGATCCTGAAACATCAGTAAATGTGGGAAAAACCATGACCAGTACCCCATGTTGCACAGAACAACCAATTATCCCGGGCTGGTCAGAGGATTGGCTGGTTAAGGCGGAACACCATCAGTTTGGTCCAGGGAAGCATTTGGAGTCAACCACATTCCCATTTCAGTAACAGCCAAAAAAAAAAAAAAAAAAAAAAGTAGGATATTAAGTGCCATACCTAAGTACAGCACCCAGAGTGAAAATTCTACTCTACTCTTCATAATCCAGTGAAGACTGTCTAACTTGGTACTTAATACAAGCAGGCATCAAGCCTGAAATCCAAGAGAGATCCATGGACTTTGGGCACAACAGCTACCTGATTTTGGACCATGACTACTGAGGCTCTGTGGGCCACCAAGAAAGAGCTACTACTCCTTCCCTCCTTCCCAACACCATCCCACACGGCTCAAAACTGTGAACAAATCTGACCATGTTAATGGGTAGAGAGTTAGGTCAGGTGGCAGTGAGTGTTTTGAGTGAACTGTATTTATTTTAACAAAGACAACTGTTCTACATAGAAATGCTACGCTGAGAGGGGTTTAGTGGCTGTAGCTGTAATCTCAGCACTTGGGAGGTGTAGGCAAGTGTAAGACGAGCAAGACTTTGAGCGTTCAAAGTCAATTGTAAAGGAAATAGATAGAATCCTTAGAGAGATGAAAGAGAAAGTCTCAGGGAAAAAATAGAAAACTTTTACCTGGAATTATCTTTTAAAGCATATGGAATCATATAGGATGGAGAATAATTAAATTCTCCTTTATCGAGACAGAGTACTGGACAAAGAAAGACAACCATGAAAACAGCCACATAATCTCACCTCAGAAAAGCGAAAACCATGTCATAACATCTCATTATTTATGGGGGAGGGGGAGCAAGAATTCAAAGTCACCCTAACCTATACATCACCTACTCTAAATAAAAAACTAAACAAAATAAATGAGAGAGACAGAGACAGAGAAAGAGAGACAGAGAGAGACTGATTAAGCTTCTTTTCTGCTGGAGTGTTTCCTGTATGCCAGAAAAAAAAATGATCAAATTCATAAACACATATTTTATATGTTTTCTCCATTTGAAGGAATGACAATTTTAATGACAAGTTTATTAAACATGTATTCATTAAGCATTATAAAAAAAATTTTCTAGTTTTAATTCTGATTTTGACTCATTAGCTTCACAAACAATATAACAGAAAGATTTGGAATGACGATAGTTACAGCTTCTGAGATTCAAAATACTTGCCTTCCAGGAGAAGATAAAAGGGTGGACATGGGTTTGAAGCTAACACATGGACTTGCATCTTCATACAGTTCATTTTAATAGCCCACAGGAGCTTCAGTGTAACCCTCAGGGGCATTGGCTGGCCAGCTAAAGGAAGATTACCTTGTCCTTCCCTGGACTTCTGTGAGAATTAGAAACCATAGTTTTCCTTCTCCAGGCAAATGCCACCAGAACAGGGCTAAGAGCAGACTTCTCGTTCAATTCAAACCTCATGGTCCAACATTAAGTGCATTGAACACTGAACAACTATGGCTTTAATGTGTGTTGTTGTGTTTTCAAACCTGACAGGGAAAAGGCTGGGAACCTGTAGTAAACTAGAAACACATGCAACAACCCCAAGCTGAAGCCATTTCATTTAGAAATTTATCAAGAACTCTTACTACATCCACTTCTCGGGGAATCGCAGAAGAGCCGTGAGGACGATGAGTGTGGGTAACACACTGAATCTCTGGGACTTTAAAAGATTCAGGGCATCCTCTGAAGACTGGAGAGGATGGAGGTCAAGCTGCTGCATTCAGAGGTCATGGCTCGCAGTCTCTCAGCACAGCCATTGTCCCTCTGGCCACCACACACATGTACCAAGAGTTCCCATAAATGTACTTAGAGTATCCTGTTCTGATTTCCTATGATGAAGATTACAAACTAGAAAAAGCCTCCACACCTCTAAAGATATAGTCTGTAGAAACTTGCATTGTCTCTCCTCAAGCTCTAAACTAGACCCTGAGCTACCAAACAAGACCAGAATAAGCAAGGGGATAGGAAGGGGAAGTCTCAAGGGATGTGAACAGAGAACAAGAGAGGAGAAGCAGAAGTCACACTTGGCTACAGCCCAGCCAAGACTGAAACAGTCATTACTACTTCCTGCTACAAGGGAACCTAGAGAGGTGTTGTGTGATGTTTATCACATAGTATTATGTACAAGTCCTGATATGCCATGCACTTCCTTATTACTCCATATAGTGGTTCTCTGGAATACTCTACTTAACACTGTTTTTGAGAAACAAGCTGAACCCTACCTGTATTCACATAGCTAATGAGGAGCAGAATTCCCTCACAGAGCAGGGCATGACCCAGAATCCTCTCTCAACACCATGCAGACTTTCCAAATTTTCTCATGAATCCATGAAGTAGGCTGCAAACCCCTAGCAACTCTGTTCTGAAACAGTTTTGGTTGGCTTTTGTCTTAGTTTAGGTTTCTATTGCTGTGAAGAGACACCAGGACCATGGCAACTCTTATAAAGGAAATCATTTAATTGGGGCTGGCTACAGTTTCAGAGGTTTAGTCCATTATCATCATGGCATGAAACATGGTGGCATTCAAGTAGGCATAGTATTGGAGAAGAAGCTGAGAGTTCTACATCTTGAGTCACAAGCAGCAGAAGTGACTATAGACCACACTGGGCATAGCTTGAGCATATGAGACCTTCAAGCCCACCCCCTACAGTGACAGACTTCCTCCAAGACCACACCTACACCAACAAGGCCCCACCTCCTAATAGTGTCACTCCCTATGGGCCAATGGGGGCTATTTTCTTTCAAACCACTACTGTATTATATTTTTTATTATACTTTATTTATTTAGGGAGAGCACACACATAGCAGGTAAGGGGGAAGGTCAGAGACAACTTGTAAAAGTTGGTTCTCCCTACCATCATGTGGGTCTGGGGCCATTGAACTCAGATCTTTAGACTTGGTGGCATGTGCTTTTTGCCGCTGAGTCATCTCCTAGGCCCCTGAAATGTCTTTTAAAATGTTAAAGCTCATTAAGATTTTAGGCATTCCTAACTGTGCCCTCTCCAAGTTTCCTTATATGATTTACAAGACATCCTACCAGGCTTCAGTAATGTAGGAACTGTAAATTGTTGTTGACTTTCTTGTGTTTTGTTTTGTTTTGTTTTGTTTTGTTTTGTTTTGTTTTGTTTTGTTTTGTTTCCCCAGAGCAATCACCATCTCGTCCAAACTCAAAACCCACCAATAGGTTCCAGAACTCCATAAGGGAGTTGGTGTTAGTATTCTGTCTAAACTCTACCTCCACAGTCACTTGGCAACAGCCAGGTAGGCCTGCCCACTATAAAAGGAGCTGCTTGGCCCCTCCTCTCTCTCCTGATCCCTTAACCCGGCACCTGCAGGTTCACTGTCCCCTCGCCCCTCCTTCCTTCTCTTCCCCCTCTCTCCACGTGGTCATGGCCAGCCTCTACTCTCTCTACTCCTCTCTGCTCTCTCTCTCTCCTCTCTCTCTCTCTCTCTCTCTCTCTCTCTCTCTCTCTCTCTCTCTCTCAATAAACCTCCCCTCGTGGAACCGTCTAGTCTGGCGTTATCTGTTCCAAGCTGTGCCCCGAAAAAACCTTTCAGTTGGGGCAGCAGGAGATGGAGGAGCCACTGGGGAACATGCTGCTCCTCTCCAGGGGCCTGAAGGCAGATGTTCCTACATCTCTCCTGTGCCATTATCACCCTCTGCTTTGTGCCAGATGATCCTATTTGTTCCTGAGACTTGGTGATCTAACACTCATTTAACATGTTAGTACTTCTTAAGGAAGCTTAGTGTTAACAGTAGTAATGGAAGTAAAATTTTCGTCTGACTCCCTAAACCTACAAAACCAGTCTCTTGGTTTTGTTCAGATGAAGAGCTATTTACTATGTAAAAAGCTTTAGAACATGACCAGCCAGAATCCAACTCTCCCCCATGCATTTTAGAACATAAGGAAGCTTTGAGAGAACACACCCAGTGCACTGGTGCACTTACACTAATCTTTTCTTGCACTCCCATAAGACAGTGAAAAACAAGAGAGTGCCTGGCCATTAAGCAGAGCAGTAGGAACTGAGTCAGAGGGTTGTCTGGAGGGAAACAGCATGCCGTGCAGACTTACCTCCATGATGCAAGGGTTCCAACCTCTGCCAGGAGGAAATTGCTTCCATTTCTATGGCCCTTGGGCAAGTACCAGAAAAATTTCATTTGTAGCTATCCAAGTTTTCCTGTTTGTACTTGAACACATTTTTCTCAGTGTTATTGTTTAAATAAGAAAGAGACAGGATTTTTTTGCCTTATTTTTCCTGAGATCTCACAATGACCTATCGGTTAAAAAAAAAAAAGACTCCCTTTTTAATACTACGGCAACATCAAATTTTCACAAGAAAATTCCAAACTGTTTCTGCCTTTATCACAGTAACAACCACTCCACAAAGGTGCAGTAACAACCACTCCACAAAGGTGCCGCCCGAAAGACCAGCCATGAGACAGTACTCAGAGGGGCCCAGCATGGCTGCACTTCTCCAGGGAGCTCTCCTGAAACAAGGCCTCATTGGGAGTGGTTTATTCTGGAAGTGAAATCATCAAGTCCTTGGAAGAGAGCACAAAACAGAGAGCAGGTAAGGAACAGAGTTCAAGGTTTCAAAGCCGGTCACTCTGGGCAGCCACTGGAACCCGGTACTGCCAGGAAACTCTTGGAGACAGTGTAAAAGGTTACTTGCCTCCACAGAGGG